GGGACAGAAGTGTGGACAGATGGACACGGACACGGGTGGGGACAGAGGGACGTCCGTGGGGACAGACAGACATCAGTGGAGACAGACGGACACAAACAGGGGTGGGGATGGGGACAGAAGGACGGACAGAGGGACATCATTGGGGACAGACGGACACGTTCACGGGTGGGGGTGGGGAGAGGAGTGGGGACAGAGGGACAGAAGTGGGGACGGACGGACACGGGTGGGGACAGACGGACATCAGCGATGACGACATTCGGGACAGACGGACACGGGTGGGGGGAGGGGAAGGAGATCCCGACCCCAATGGGATCCCAGGTTCAGGTCCCAATGATCCCAAACCTAAAAAGACCCCAACCCCAAAAAGACCCCAACCCAAAAAGACCCCAACCCCAAAAGACCCCAACCCCAAAAAGACCCCAACCCCAAAAGACCCCAACCCCAAAAGACCCCCACCCCAAAGGGATCCCAACTCACGAGACCCCCACCCCAATGAAACACAGACTCAGGAGATGCTGACCCCAATGGAAGCCATGTTCAGGTCCCAATGATCCCAAACCCAACGGGACCCCAGACTCAGGAGACCCCAACCCCATGTTGGGGTGACGGAGACCCCAACCCCAACGGGGTCCCGTGTTGGGGTGACGGAGACCCCAACCCCAATGGGGTCCTGTGTTGGGTTGATGGAGACCCCAAAACCAATGGGGTCCCATGTTGGATGCATGGAGACCCGACCCCAACGGGGTCCCGTGTTGGGTTGATGGAGACCCCAACCCCAATAGGGTTTTGTGTTCAAGATACCCCAACTCCAATGGGGTCCCCAGCTCATGAGACCCCAACCCCAATGGGGTCCCGTGTTGGCTTGACGGAGACCCCAACCCCAACGGGACCCAGAGCTCATGAGATCCCAACCCCAATGGGGTCCCATGTTGGGTTGATGGAGACCCCAACCCCAACGGGACCCAGAGCTCGAGATCCCAACCCAACGGGGTGTTGGGTTGATGGAGACCCCAACCCCAATGGGGTCCCGTGTTGGGTTCACAGAGACCCCAACCCCAATAGGGCCTCATGTTGGGTTGACGGAGACCCCAACCCCAATGGGGTCCCATGTTGGGTTGATGGAGATCCCAACTCCAATAGGCCTCCCAGCTCATGAGACCTGAACCCAAATGGGGTCCCGTGTTGGGCTGATGGAGACCCCAACCCCAATGGGGTCTCGTGTTGGGTTCACAGAGACCCCAACCCCAATAGGGCCTCATGTTGGGTTGACGGAGACCCCAACCCCAATGGGGTCCCATGTTGGGTTGATGGAGACCCCAACCCCAACGGGACCCAGAGCTCATGAGACCCCAACCCTACGGGGTGTTGGGTTGACAGAGCCCCCAACCCCAATGGGGTCCCCAGCTCATGAGACCCCAACCCCAATGGGGTCCCGTGTTGGGTTGACGGAGACCCCAACCCCAACGGGGTCCCATGTTGGCTTGATAGAGACCCAACCTCAACAGGGTCTCACGTTGGGCTGACGGAACCCCCAACCCCAACGGGGTCCCGTGTTGGATTCATGGAGACCCAACCTCAACGGGGTCCCATGTTGGTTTTACGAAGACCCCAACACCAACGGGGTCCTGTGTTGGGTTGACAGAGCCCCCAACCCCAATGGGGTCCCCAGCTCATGAGACCCCAACCCCAACGGGATCCTGTGTTGGTTTGATGGAGACCCCAACCCCAACGGGACCCAGAGCTCATGAGACCCCAACCCAATGGGGTGTTGGTTTGATGGAGACCCCAACCCCAACGGGACCCAGAGCTCATGAGACCCCACCCCAACGGGGTGTTGGGTTGATGGAGACCCCAACCCCAACGGGGTCCCATGTTGGCTTGACGGAGACCCAACCTCAACAGGGCCTCATGTTGGGCTGACGGAGACCCCAACCCCAACAGGGCCTCATGTTGGATTCATGGAGACCCAACCTCAACGGGGTCCCATGTTGGTTTTACGAAGACCCCAACCCCAATGGGGTCCCATGTTGGGCTGACGGAGCCCCCAACCCCAATGGGGTCCCATGTTGGGCTGACGGAGCCCCCAACCCCAATGGGGTCCCATGTTGGTTTGACAGAGACCCCAACTCCAATAGGCCTCCCAGCTCACGAGACCTGAACCCAAATAGGGTCCCATGTTGGATTGATGGAGACCCCAACCCAAATGGGGTCCTGTGTTGGGTTGATGGAGACCCAACCCCAACGGGGTGTTGGGTTGATGGAGACCCCAACCCCAACGGGGTCCCATGTTGGCTTGACAGAGACCCAACCTCAACGGGGTCTCATGTTGGGTTGATGGAGACCCCAACCCCAATGGGGTCCCGTGTTGGGCTGACGGAGACCCCAACTCCAACGGGACCCAGAGCTCATGAGACCCCAACCCCAACAGGGTGTTGGGTTGACGGAGACCCCAACCCCAACGGGGTCCCACGTTGGCTTGACGGAGACCCAACCTCAACGGGGTCTCGTGTTGGGCTGACGGAGCCCCCAACCCCCCGTGCCCCCCATCCGACGCCCCCCGCCCGCAGCTCAGTCCCAGTCGGTGGGCTCACAGATGCTGAGCGGGGCGGCGTTGCGGCGCCCGGCGCGGATGCCGGGGTAGAAGAGCGGCCATATTTTCTCGGTGAAGGTGTCGGTGAAGGTGTAGAGGTGCGAGCGGTCGGTGACGTTGTAGAAGGAAACCTCCCCCGCCTCGTAGTCCACGAAGACCCCCACCCTGGTGGGCTTCACCCTGGGGCTGAGGGGGGTGAAGGGGGCGGTGGTGGCGGCGTAGCGATCGCCGTTCCAAAGCCGGACCCTCCAAAATCCGCTCTCGGGCAGCGCCGCCGGCTCCCCGTTGCGACACACCGAGTCCCCGCAGACCCCCAGCGCCCAGTGGGTTTTGTGGCCCACCTCCACCTCCCAGTAATGGCGGCCCGACGTGAAGCCCCTGGAGCCCAGCACGCACGGGTAGGTGGTGAAGCGGCGGCTGCTGGCCGCCAGGTGGCGCTGGCGGCTCTCGATGAAACGGACGCTTTTCCGGTCGGGGGATAAAAGGAGGTTGGGGTGCGCGGTGTCGGGGTCCAGAGTGACGTCACCTGGGGGGG